TGGATTGGCATCATTGATATTTTCGGCCGATCTCCCAGCGCCCTGTCAAACATATTTTTGCATGTGGTGGACCATGTTCACAACAAATACAAGGATATTCTCTATTTGGACCGCGACCGGATTGCCCTCCCTTCTTGGTCGTTTTGCAGATTCTGTCGCCAGCAAGGATGGTGAAGTTCGTAATGTTTGGGCCTTTGTGTATGACACTGTTCGAGTGTGTTTGCGACCGATGAATTGGACTGTGCAACGTAGTGTGTTCAATGGTCACAAACGGAAACATGCACTCAATTTTCAAACTTTGGTTACCCCGAACGGAATCATTTCGCATGTGTATGGGCCTGTCGAAGGCCACCGCCATGATTTGACGATTTTGAAGCGATCCAATTTGAAGTCCACGTTGCGTTCCGATTCCAGATTCAATGGGTATATTATATATGGGGATCCTGCATACGGTAAATCTGCCCATTTTGCGTCGACATTTCGTGGGCGCAACTTGACATCAGCTCAGAAGTATGTCAACAAGAGCATGTGTAATGTTCGAGTCAGCGTTGAGTGGTTGTACTCACAAATAGTGAGATACTGGTCTCATCTCGACCATCGGACTAAAACGTGTCTTTGAAAGTCGCCAATTTCAAAACTGTACAATGTTGCTGTCTTACTCACAAGTTGTAATTTGTTACCGTGGTTCAAATGTCAACAGCGTTTTTTCTTCGGAAGTACCCCCAACACTAGAAGACTACCTTAACAACACAGACTAACATGATTCAGTTCGTCACGGTAGTAATATGTATGATCAAGTGTGCATGTGTGTTGTTTTTAGCATGGTCATGTATGCATGTGTGGTTTAATAGCATGGACATGTATGCATGTGTGGTTTAATAGCATGGACATGTATGCATGTGATGTTCAAACATGATAACCACAACTCGTTTTGAATTAAAGTTAACTTCACAATTTGTCAATGAGCATTTCATGAAGCATGGCCATTTGTCTTTGTTCATTCCGACGAATCTCTTGTTCGTCCTGCTCAAACTTCAATCTTTGCATTGGATATGCATGATCATCGTCGTGGCGCTTGGTTTCAAATGCCAGTAACAAATCAGTGGGATCACGGGCAGCGTCGCGCTTGATTGTTACAGGCATGGTCCCCAGGGCCATCCGCTTTGCGACCCGCTCCTCTGCATCGTTGCATGCCTTTTCACCTGCTTGGTCGAGCAAGTCTTGACGATCTCGCTCGTCTTCGCGCTTTCTTGTTTTCTTGCTCTTTGCGTCTTCGCGCTGGTCCAGAATGTCTTGCTTCAGCTTCGTCATGTCGCCAAGGTCTTCATCCACCCCAGACGCACGCATGCTTTTTTGGTTTTGACGGGCGAAACCTTGGAGGAGAGTATCGCATCGAACCTGGCAGGTCCGGGCAGAAATGCTGGGTTCATATTCTTGCATGACGAGTGCGGCCTTAGCCCTAGTTGCAGCAACCTTTCCATGCCCTACTTCGTAAGGAACTAGCCGAACAACCTCCTTGAGGAGAGCCTCATCCATTTCGTCCGTCAACTGGATCTGTTTTCTATCTTTCTTTCCCATGGAGATGGCGCCACAGATTTTCCCGACTTGGCACGTCGAAGTCGGTTGGGAAAATCAAATCCCCTACTTTCTCCAGTCAATTCACCGACTTGGGCGAACTTCGAAGCATTACAAATTTTAATCTTTAAGTCGGGAATTCAAATTCCCGACTTGCTAAAACGCTCTTACATAAGAGTTTTACACTGACCATTAGCACGTATGACCAGCACGGCCGTCATACGATCGGAATGCATTTCCGAGGAGTCACTTTACCGTCGGCGCTAATCTCACACCAAATACGGTGTGGTAGGGTGCTGAATACTCCCTCCGTCCCACAATATTTGCGTAGTTGTGCGGAGGGGAGACATGTCCCATCATTATATTTACAAGTGATATTCAAACTTCACTGTCGCCTTCCTCAAGTTGAATTTGTCGTGTTTGATTGGTGCAATTGAACAAGCGCGCCAAGAGCTTTCAATTAACGTGTGATTGAGAGGGAAAAGCGCAGAAACAATGGCTCAAGTCGCCCTTGAATTTTACATACTTTAACTCATATAAATTTTTGACCAACATTC